GCCAAAACAGCTACACTGTATCCAACTACCGCTACTTTTCTCTTTGCCTGCGACTAAACCACCTATCGTCAATCGACGGGTGGTTCAGGAGTCTGTCGCGGACAAGTAAAAAGAACTGTATGTTTCGTCGCATTCGTTCATTATAAGACCGCAGCAGGCTATTATAACTAGTAGCGATGCACATCAGGGTTGCCGGTGCAAGTATACATTTCTGCAAACAAAAAGTGGAGCTATGTGTCACAGCAATAATTAAAATTTAGGAAGAGCGGAAAGGATGGATTAGTAAACTGAGTGGTGTGTCGCTGATATCAGATACTATCTTATCCGTTGAAACAGTTGATTATGTTAAACAGGTAAGTGAATAATTCAGTGAAGGCATCCATTTTGTAAATCAGTCATTGACTACGCGCACCGGGTGGGCCCGTGCGATCATGCATTTTTGCAGTATTTCGAGCTGTAGTGGTGGAAACCTAGTAGCCAGGATTTGTGAGATACTGCTTCTCGAAGTTCGGGAAGTTGTCTACGCGGTACTTGAGCAGGAAACGTTCCGCTAAAATCCCAGCTATCCAACTTCTCCGGTTCTTGAGTTAGCAATTTTCCCGCCAAAGAATTTCATGGGTCCGTACATGAGATCACACGTATTTGGGAGCTGTACTTGATATTTTTAACTTTCATGGGGGCTGTAAACTTACCCTTAAAATTTCAGCTCCCAGCTTTCCTGTTTCCCGAGTTAGCCATTTTCCCCCCAAAAAATTTCACGGGGCTATACGTGAGAACCACACATGCCTGGGGGCTGAGTTCGATAATTTTAGGTTGTACATGTGCTGGGAACATTCTCTGGTAATCTCAGACTCCTGGTTTCCCTGGCTCCCGAGTTACTCATTTTCCCGCCAAAAAATTTCACGAGGCCACACGTGAGAACCACACATACCTTGGGGTTGTACATGTGTACATGTGTAGGTTGTACATGTGCTGGGAACATTTCCTAAAAATATCAGCCTCCTAGCTTTCCTATCTCCCGAATTAGCGATTTTCGCGCCAGGAACCCTAACGTTGCCGTACGCGGGAACCGCGCACACCTAGAGACTGAATTTGAAATCTTTGAGCTCTATCTCACGGAGAACATAACCTCAAATTCCAGCTTTCTGGCTTTTCTAGTTTCCGAGTTAGCGATTTTCCCGCCAAAACTTTCCCCTCTCGTATGCAGGATCTAGACGTGTGTGACGATTGGTACCGCGGTCCTGGGGTGGAACTTAGCCGAGGAACCCACTCGCAAAATTTTGGCGCCGGAACTTGCTTGGGTACCGAGTTGAAATACCCGGACAGACGCACATACACACATACACACACACACACACACACACACACCGGGGTCGTCGTAATATGCGTTTTCGCATTTGCTTACATGCAAAACTCCTGGAACGACAGTATTTCATGTAAGACATCGTGAAATTTCATCCCTTTAGCAAATAGCGATTGAGGGGGCGTTGACGAGAATTTTGCACTTTCAGGTTCGTCGTATTATTACTAAGGCATGGGCTTTGTGAAGCTGATATTACGATTTTTGTACCGTAGTTCGCAAAATTCATGCTTCCTTGCTTGCTGATTATAAAGAAAAGAGGATAATGAAGGTGTTGCAGTTTAAACATTTGGCGCATTCGTACGCGGGGTACATGCATAGAAAAAAAAACCTGTTTTACGTTTATAGGATCGCGCATGGACAATAAATTTTCTCATAAAAGCGTGACTTCCTGCTTGATTGGCTTCAAAACTAATGCATCTAAAAACCAGCCCAGGCTGAAAGTTATTTGCACGCACGTGATATCTAAGCGCGCCTGATAGGTACTAGCCATAGAACATTCTCATAAAGATTCAGCTTCGTGGCTTGGCCGGTCCTTGAAATCGCTCCTTTGCTATGAGCATATTCTAAGTGCTCGTGTGAGGCGTGCTCGAGAAACCACCTTGTGTTTAAGAGCCTCCACAAGGTAGCAAATATTCTCGTGAAATTACAGCTACCTTTTCCCGTTAGATTTTTGAGTTGACATGTAGATTGCATTGTCTGAATTATAGCTTGAAATTGTCCGATGGCGTGACGTGGGCGTGTGTGATAAACGAATTTGAAATCTTTGGGCTGCACACGGCAAAAAATATCTCCACCAAATTTTAGTTTCGTGCGCGGACTGGTTATTGGAATTGATATGCAGCCAAAATTTTATCAATTTTTCTCGCAAAACCTCGGACCGGGCAAAATCAGGGTTGAATTTAGATTTTGAAGGCCGCAAATGAGCTGAAAACGTCCTTGTAAAATTTCTCCCATCTTCTTTGTTTGCTGGGACGAATGTGCTTGGCAAAATGTCTTCATTTCACACGCACGCATACGCACATACATACACTCAATCTCTCGGTAATGTGCATTTAAACAAAATTGCAAAAATGAGTAAAAACGACTGTTACTTTTGAATTCATTTCTGATGGACAAGTCAATCAGTTTACCCTCAACAGTCTTACCTCTCCTAATTTTATTAAGCCATGTGCAAATTAAACCCAGGCTGGAACGCACCAAGCGAGCCGGTGCGACCGTATGTTTTTGCACCAAGCTTGAAGTAATTAAGTTAGCTGCATGATTAATTGTTGCTCCACACCTACCTTGTGTGCTCAGTACCGTAAATCATCATAAATTTTACATAAACGAAAATAAACGATTTCCGTATAGCGGTCATTTTTATGCGTTTTTGCCTATATGCAAGTTGCAAAAACGCATACTGTGACAACCCTGTGTGCGTGTGTATGTTTGTGTGTGTGGGTGTGTTCGTCCGTCCGACTATTTCAACTCGGCAACCAAGCAAGTTCCAGCGCCAAGATTTTGCTAGTGGGTTCCCCGGCGAAGGGCCACCCCAAAACCACGGCACCAACCCTCACGCAAGTCTTGGCCTCGCGTACGATAGAGTGAAAGTTTTGGCGGGAAAACTGCTAACTCGGGAACGAGAAAAGATAGAAAGCTGAAATTTTGAGGTCATGTTCCCCGTCTACATATAACTCAAAGATTTCAAATTCAGCCAACAGATATGCGTGGTTCCCGAGTGCAGCCCCATGAGGGTTTCAACTTCCCAGCTTGGGAACCAGGAAAGTTGAGAGGCTGAAATATTAAAGGGATGTTCCAGCCTACATACAACTTAAAAATTCCAAACCCAGCCTACAGGTATGCTCTCAGGCCACATGCGGCCCTGTGAAAATTTTGACGGGAAAATTGATAACTCGGGAACCAGAAAAGCTGTGGTTTTAGGAGAATATTCCCCACCCAAATACAACTTAAATTCAAGCTCAGCCTGCATGTACGCATGGTTCTCGCGTACGGGCACTTAATTTGTTGACGGAAAAATTAGTCATTGATCAGCTAGGTCATTTCCAAAAAACGACCACTAAGCAGAAATTGTTTATTTCCTTTTATGCAAAAATTTCGATGATTTACGGTATCGAGTGTACAAGGTAGGTGTAAAAAAACAACCGTTCATGCAGTTAACCTAGTCACTTCAAGTTTGGTGCAAAAACGCATGATCGCACCGGCTCGCCTGGTGCGTTCCAGCCTGAGCTTTCATGAAGCCAGGTCGTTTTTTTTTTCGATAAATGCTCGCTTTTTGAAAAAATGGAAAACCCAAATTTTTTGAAAAAATGCAAATTTTCAGTTCGCTAAAAAAATCAAAATGTTGCTTGGGCGGTCGTTGGTCAAAAAATCCAAGTATGCACATGAACTGAATGTTCATTTACATATTTGGATGAGGGCAGTCATTCGCTGCAAAACGCACTCGTTTCTTATTTTTCTGTAAAGTTGAGTGTTTCTCGTGCTTACCTGCAGGGAGTTTCACCTCAAAACAGAACTAAGACCGCACTTGAAAGTAGAATATCCCAGCAAAGTTCCAGCTCCGCACGTTATCCGGTAAGCGAAATATCCACTCTGCTACAAATATCTTTGAAGTGCCCTAATTCGTGGCGCAAGTGCAAATCGGTACTCATTTTAGGTTTACGATTTCGCATATGGGCAACAAATATGCTGGCGAAATTTCAGCCACTGTTTTCTGGCAAGTTTTCAAGTTAGCACAGTGCCAAGTCGCAAACTTTGACGTGGTCGTACACGCTACACAAGCGTGCATGGCAGCTGAATTTGAAATCTTTAGCTCGCACATGCGCAGAAAATATCCTTGCAAAATTTTGGCTTTGTACCTTGCCCGGTTCGAGAAATCGTTCCCCGCTAAAGAAATTTGCGTATTTTTTTTGGGGGTCCGTAAGCGGGGTCTAGACGTGTGTGGAGGAAGATCTTAAAATGCAGGGTGACGCACGGTTTAGGAACATATACCAAAAATTTCAGCCTCCCAGCTTTTCTGGCTGCTGAGATGAAAATGGGTGAAAAAATGCACTCGTTTCCGTGTAACGTTCGAGGAGCTGGAGATGGGAAGCTGGGGTTAGGGCCTGCCTGGCAGACAAGTGCAGCAACAAGTGAAACTTATTTATTAGATCAATATCAAAAAAAATTAAAAAAAAAAACAACAAAATAGCCAGAAATCGCCCGGCAGCAGCTCCAAGCTGCCACCGGACACGCATAAGGATTTACAGGCGGCAGCAGCTCCAAGTTGTCGCCGCACACATTCAGCCGCCGCCAAAAAACAATAATTTCACACTCAACATTTCATTTTCATTTATTACATTAAATATCGCGGAGGAGGGAACTCGAGCCAAGAGACGGGGCATTTACATATTACAGAAAACCGAAGGGCAACTGGACAAGGCGAAGGGGAATGAGCCTCCAACTTCGCTTCCTTGTTGCTCGCTCCTTTTTTTCCCTTTGCAACGCGCCGCCGCTCGCTTGAGCTCGGTCCCCGAGCTCCTAATCTTTCTCTTTCTTCCTTTTTCTTCCTTGTTTCTTCCTTTTACTCGAATTCTTGTATCCTCCATCATGCGTTTCTGTACGTCCGGCGCCTTCTATTCGTTCCCAAAATAACTTTCCCTCAAGGTGCTTCCGGCGGGACTTTTCGCAAGTGATCAAGCTGCACTTTGAAAGCTTGTTCTCTCCTCCCGATCAGTTGCACTATCGCACTATTATCCGTTAGCCTCAAAATACGGTAGGGAACAACGTATTTGTGAACGAACTTGGGATGCCGTGTTGTGGTCAGCTCTGACGGCATGTACACCAGTACCCGTTCGCCCACGCGGAATTGCTCGGCCTTCACACGATTACGCTCATCGTAATATCGCTTGGCCCTCTCTTGTTCCTTTTTTATATGCTCCAAAGCTCGGCTTCGAATCTCTTGGAGCCCCAGCAACAGTTCCGTGCGATAGTCGTCCAAATCTATCATGTACCTGGTGGGTTGC